ATAACACCCGGCCGACGTTATGCAACATAAAAAAGCCAGCAAGTTCATATAGCAGATTTAGCGTGATACCTCTTTTTTTTTCCCCTGTGCCCTACCATATTATCATGAATGCTTTTTTGATAATTTATTTCTTGAGACTAGATAAGTAAACGCACCCCAAATTTTATATCATGTGAAAAGCAGATCCCAGAGTACGTACTGAAATACAACGTACCGAAATTTCACGTGATTTCACAAAATCGCACAAGAAAATTCAAGAAAATTCAACAAAATTCTAAAATTTATATTTTATTTAATATTTTATTTTTTTTTTTTACATTTTTTTTAAAAAAAAAAAAAAAACCCCAATCCTATTTTAATTTTTTATGGGCCCCTCTTCTGCTAAAATACAAGCAGCAGCCTGATCCGGCATTCCACTAATTAGCCTACGACATAATTCAGGCGGTATTTCACTCCACACCTTTTTGACAAGAACATCCAGCTCTTTAAGGCTACCCGGTTTTGGCTTGCGACTCAAAGACCTTTTAACCTCAGACCACAGATTTTCTATTGGATTCAGGTTAGGGCTCTGGAGGGGCCAATTCATCCATCTAACCTGATTTTTTGCCATAAATGACTTTGCAAGTTCTGCAAAGTGAGGTTTGGCATTATCTTGCTGGAATATGGGATGACCATGATTATTGAATGGAAAATTTTTTAGGGTGGGGAGGACGTACTTGCAAAGAACCTCAATGTGAGAGGCACCAGTAACTGAGAATTTAAGCGGAACAATAGCCCAACCCCATACCAAGAGAAGCAGCCCCAATACATGCGACTTTGACTTTGGCCTACAGTCGCACTTAAACAATCCATGTTCCATTTTTCATGAGACTCATGCCAAACACGAGCGGGGGAGCCTTGAAAGAGACGAATAGAGATTTCGTCTGACCACAACACATGCCTAAAATGCTGAACAGTCCATGCTTCATGTTCCAGGGCCCAGTCATATCTCTTTTGTTTGTTCTCTGGGATAATCAACGGTTTTAGAACAGCGACGCACGACCCCAAATTTTCACTGCGCAAAACACAACGCACAGTTCTTGTAGAAATTTTTTTTTGGCTTTGGCTGTTGTGGAGGTTAGTAATTTGGACAACATTTAGACAGCAGTTACCGTCAGTTACTAGTTTTTTCAGATTTTTGCTTTTGGTAGGGGAGAGGTGCTTGGGATGTCCATGTCTTTTTTTTTTTTGGGCCGCAACAGCACCAACTGAGCGAAACTCTGTTATGACGTTCCACATAGCAGATTTGCTGCACTTTACAGTAGCCACGATGGTGCAGATAGAATCTCCCCATTGATGACCATAAATTATTGCACCTCTTTGAGCTTCTGTCAAATCTCTGCCACTACCCATTGTTCAAAAGAGAGAAAAAAAAATTATGTATTGTGCCAAATCTACTGTACTAACCTGGCCTTTTTTATATTGCACAATGTCGGCTAGGCGTCACACTATATTCATGTGAAATTTGAAATAGGTTTAAAATAAATACGATTTTTGGAAAATTTTTTTCTAAAAAGGAAAAAAATTTAAAATTCAAATTTTCTTTTTTTGTACTGCAACAGTGCCCACTTAATGTAGCTTCTTTATGACATTCCACACGGCAGATTTTTGCTGCATTTAACAATTAGCCATGATAGCACGGACAGAGTCTTCCTGCTAGTAGCTATAAATTATTGCATCTCTATGAGTTTTGCTAAATTTTTGCTGCTACCCCATTGTTCAAAGAAAAAAAAAAAGAAAGATGCATTACGCCAAATCTGCCATATGAACCTGGTCTTTTTTATGTTGGGTAATGGCGTGAGGTGTCAC